CATCATTCACTCCATCACTGTCTTGCCAGAGGCGTGCTTACACTACAGTTATAAAACTGCAACATTAACACCCATAGCCTCGGAGAAGTGGATAAAAAGGCTTCAAGGAAGAATATTTGGATTTCTTCCTGAAGCCGTTTGAATATTCCACTTCCCCTACCACCCAATCTTTTCATTCTTTTTTACCAATAGGTATAATTTATTACATAATATGGTACAAAAGGTTTAAGAGATACATTGTTGATATAAAGATGGAATATACAGTAATTGAGATGTGAGAGATACATGTCTAGTACATATTGTTACATGTTTGTCACTGATTATAATGCGAAAATCTCATCCAGCTCTTCAGAACTGGGGCGCGTGCCCAAAATACAGCAGGCATTACCCCTCTGAACAGCAGCGCTGAGTCGCTGGAACAGAAAACTAGCTGCCCTGGGATCCCTAGTTACCCTGATGAGTCTTTTGCCTAGCTCCTTAAGGAACTTTGATGCACTCTTTCCCCATGAGCCAAGGGTCTCTGAGCCTATGGGAACAAACATATAATGATGGGCAAGTTCTCCATATTTTCTAGACTTTTGGGACTCCCTGAAGCTGGCGGCTGCCCCTCCTTTCTCCCTGGTGTATTGGAAATGGGTATCAGCCAAGGTAGATGCACATGTGTATTCCCACACCACCTGCTTACCGTCTGTCCAGGCTTGAAGTGTGATACCATCTGGACGCTTCTGGATGCCATCAGATCTGCATAGTTGGGGTGGATCCCTTACTGCTGGGCATCCGGCCGTTGTGAGGCTCCTCTTGATAATATTATTAACCTCCTCATGTCTTGCAATCTTTTCCCCGGATTTACAGCACACAAGACCATGGTACCTGAATCGGTCTGCTGCTTCACTGCCACAAATACACCTGTGTTCGGCGAGAATAGGGGCAGCAAGTCGAAGGGCAACACCAATGCGGATGGTCTGTGGGTCGATCCGTGTGCCAAGGCTGGAGTTGGGAACAGCCAACAGATAGTCCCCTGCATAAGGAGCTCTCACCGCCAGGAGGCAGGCTCTATCCTTTCCTGACACACTCTGAAGCATTGTTGAGACTATTTTCTCCACTATTGGGCCATCCCATTGCGACTGTTTGTAGTTGTTGGGGGAAGCAGGTCTGGTTTCAGAGTCCATTAAATTATTCCAGATCATGGCTCCGTCAATGAACTTTTGGTCCTGGACTCCAATCTTGTCCCTAAGATGTTCAGGGAGAATCGCTGCTACAAGCCCTCTAGATGCAACACATGAGGACAGAAACGCAGGTAATGCAATCTGTGATGACTTGCGGACACCAATGCCTCCTAGTCTGACTGGAAGTGTAGCTTGGTTCCACTGCCCGTCTTCTAGAGCAAGGTTAACTACTTTCGTAAAAATCTGCCTCAGGATACTGTCATATTCGTGCAATATAGGGTTATCATATGAAGGTGCACATCTTAGGAAATATGTCAACCTGGGCAGACTCAAGCACTTTATGAGAAGGTACAAGGCATCGTGGGTGTCAAGATTGCCTATTCGTTGTTCCATTCTCCTCAGTTCTTCCAATTTCTTCCTGAGGATTGTGTCAGTGGCATCGCTTCCCAGAGGTGTTTCAAGCAAGACGCTATTTGTAGGGGCAATGACTGATGCTCCTGGTAGTTTGGATCTCACTGTATTTATCACTTGTCGACTGACTGAGATGATTTCACATTTGGATGGATTCAGGATGAGACCCATTTCCTGTTACCGTGTCATCACTTGTGTAAGATCACCTAAGAGGGACTCCTTTGTACCTGCTATTGTGCCATCATCCAGGAACCAGATGTTTAGCTCACTGGTCAGTCTGACTGTAATCTCCCTAACTACTATACAGAAGAGAAATGGTGCAAGAGGATCCCCTTGCTGGACACCCTCTGATGATGTGATTTCATGCTCTCCATACAGGAGCATTGATTCCTTGCTATATCCAGCTGAAACAAAGGGGAAGAGACCAGAGAAATGTTCTTGTACTGCTGCTAATACCACATCTCTTTTCAGGAGATTAAATGCATTCTTGAAGTCTAATTTTACAGTGCACTGCATTGTCCTCAGGCAGGTTGTTGATATATGCCCTTGTTGCATGAACCGCTGCTTCACTTCCTTGAGAGATCCCAAAACCAAGCTGGTTTGGTTGAAGCATCACGGCTGCCCCTATGCAAATGCTTTGGACAGCAGCTTTGGAAACGAGGCAGCGAAAAGTGTTCCCTTCTGCAATAGGCCTAATTCCTCCATCCTTCTTTTTAGGTGCACAAAGTGTTGCACCAAAAAAGAAAGGTTTAATTTCGTCAGGAATCTGACCAGCCAAGGAATCGTTGACGAACCTAGTGATCTCTGAAAGCAGTGTCTCTGCAATCTCCCCAATAACTGGATTAACCATTTCCTTTAAATGCTGTGGCCTTATTCCAGTGTAACCCCCCGCAGAGCCAGATGGGAACGATATTATTGCTTTGTAAACGTCCGAGTCTTCCACGATCAATGGTTCCACAGTGGGGACAGAGGTGTTGGAACTGTTGGTGCCCCTGGTTTCCCTGGCAGGGTGCTTTCCTCTAAGTGCTTCTGCCGTGTCGGTATCCCTGGAGGCAACTGTATCTTCACTGGTAATAATTCTGATTGGCCCCACTGTGTTGCCCTCTTCAATTTTCTTGCTCACCTGCACTCTGACTTTTTTACTGTCGGTGGAGTGAGTGGGGGTTGTGCCTCGCCCGTTTTTGTATTGACAGGAAAGGTGAATGAGGTTATCAGTTCTAGGAAATTATCTTAAAGATTTAATGATCATTAAGGCTAGCCACTTTCCCCTTCTTTCCGGCACTGCTAAGCAGACATTGCCAAAAAGTAGCAAGTTGTGCCATGCCTTGATGGTTGGATGGAGCATTTAGGATAGTGGAACCATCATTTCCTTTTTATAAGAGGTCTGTAAGTTTCCCAGCTGCGTGTGGACGGGCTGCTTTGGGAAATATATATATATATATATATATATATATATATATTATATATATATTATATATATATATATATAATATATATATATATATATATATATATTTAATGCGCTAGCCGTCTCCCATCGAGGTAGGGTAACCCGAAAGAGAAACGCTTTCACCGTTCACACTATCACTGTATTGCCAAAGACGCGCAGATACCACAGTTTAAATGTCCCTCTAAACAGTAAATATCACAAACCCCTCCTTTAGAGTTCAGGCACTGTACTTCCCACCTCCAGGACTCTAAGTCCAGCTAGCCGGTTTCCCTGAATCCCTTCACAAAATATTACCTTGCTCACACTCCCACAGCTCGTCAGGTCCCAAAAAACCATTTATCTCAACTCACTCCTATCCAAAACGCTCACACAAGCTTACTGTATGTCCAAGCCTCTTGCACACTAGCATTTATTTCTTTGTGTACAGATCGAAATGTCCCAGTTAAAGCTTTCTCGAGAACGTGATTGTTTTACTCACAAGACCTGCCATAACACTGAACACACATGGTTGCTTCTTGCCACTATACGAATAGCTTAATGGAGTTGAAATACATCGTTTTGCTCTTTGTAAACCTCGCGTAGAATATGTTTCTCCATTTTGATATCAATTACACTCGTTATATCTAATTTCTTCTCATTTATAATGTATGTACTTTAGCTCTGGTGATTACCCAGTCTTCCTTGATACTATATATAAAACATTTACTAATTTATTACTCTTTTTTTGTGTTTTTTAATTTATTCCTAGATGGAAATTTTTTTTCTCAAAGATTTTTTCTTTCATCTTTTTTTTTTTTTACAATGAAAATTTTTATTTCCTTGTAAAGCTTACAATGTGTGGTTTACATGTTATGAAATATTAATTACAAAGACGGCCACTAGCATGCCTAGGCATTTCAAGCAGATTACTGTACTGTATATTGATATAGGTTATGGAGCAGTACATTTGAACATACATTATTAGATACATACATAAATCCCTTTTTTTTAGTTGCCTCCTCTTGATTGGTTTTGTCTAATTTATAATTCCATTACATTCTAACTTTTAATGTTCTTGATTTTTTTAAGTGTTCGCTGTGCATGCCCCTCCCGGGAGGCTCCTGGTTGCCAGTAAAGGGCGCTTTATACCAAGTATTGAACCTGACCACCCCGTCCTTTCATCGAACCAGATTGTCTCCCATTCTCCCAGGCGCTGTGACCCCTAGAGCTGTTGAAATTTTTTACATAATTTCCTAAATGTAGAACATGTAAATGAATAATATAATAACTGCATATTAAAATGTAATGCTATTTGGACCCTTCGAGAAATTTTAAGTGAAGGAGGTTGTGGAAGAGCCGGAGAGTGACGTGACAGGAGAGACACCATATTGAATTTAATGTGTGAGCACTGGATTGAGTTGTGCAATGTAGTCGGGCGTTCTCGAAGGTCATTTGTGGTTTTTCGGCCTGAATTTGTAATTAGAACCCGTGTTAATGTCCCCTGCTGAAGAATTGGGTCAGGATATTTGCGAAACCTCAAGAATTACGTGTTGATGGCAGAAAATAAGGGATGCGAACATCACTCACAGGGACGTGCACCATTAGTCTTTGTATTTAGAACTCTAGCTGGCCAGTCTAGGGTCTAGGTGTTAGGCAGGTGTTGTAATTAAATGGTAAGTGTTAATACTAATTATATTTTGTGTACCCAGAAAGCCTAGTTATATACAGCCCACGACTTTAATTATTAATTTAATATTAGGTCTAGCTTTTTGTGAGAGTGGTAGGGAGTGGGCTTCGAAGGAGTGACAGTTCAGTGACCTACTGTGGCTAGGTCCCACTTACCTCACCCAAATTACCTGCAGGTAATAATTCAGATAATGCCCTGTAAGCCTCCTGCAGGTGGTTTGCGCATAATAATAATAATTATGATTTTCAAAAGAGGTTTAGCGCTCCCTCTTGAATATAATAATGATGAACTCTACGCCCTCCTGTAGGATGATCACTGGGAACTACCTGACGACACGAGGGGAGCGAGCATCTCGTCTCTTGAAGGCGGCAGTGGTAATGTCCATCCCGTGGAACATGGAGGTTGGGGTGAGCAGCATGGAGCGACCTCTGTGCAACCTCTTGCTCAACCGCTACCTCGTGCATTGCCTTTGCCACTTGGCCGACACTATGCGCTACCAGCTGGCTGGTGATCACAAGTGGGACCTCGATCAGGTCATGAAGGTGTGATGCTGACTCATATAAGGGGTAGTGGATTAGTATGATTAATAAAACTCTCTTCTCTGGCACTGTCGCTTGCTTTGGTTTAATAACTAGTTTTCTAGCTAGTCACTATATTGATCTCTCGTTCTTTTGCTTGTTTTATACTGAAGAGTTTTATCAAAATTTAATTATAAGAGTAATTAACCGTATTTTACGAAGTAAGATTCTCTGACACGTATTATTTGCAGAGCAAGACCATCAGAGAGTTTGACACGCGGTTCACGGCGATGCAGTTCGGGTTCCGAGACGCTGAGGATTACTATGCGTCTTCGTGCCTTCACAACAAGATACACCGCATCAAGGTTCCTCTCCTGTGCCTCACCGCTGCCGACGACCCCTTCCAGCCCCTCCACGGTAAACCTCGTCCTTGTACACTACTGATCCTTCACTGTAACCTCGTCATTGTATCCTGTTGGCCCTTCACTGTAACCCTTGTCCTTGTATTCTACTTATCCTTCATTGTTGCCCCTCATCCTTGTACTCTGACTTTTCACTATAACCCTTGTCCTTGTACTGTAATGATCACGGTAACTGTTCAATTGCTCTCAACGTGATCTTCAAGGTAAACTTTACCCTTGCACTGTTAATTGCTCTGATCAGTAAACCATGCCTATTTTAGTACCCGCTGCCTCACTAGGATAAATGCCATGCTTTTACTCGCTGCCATCCACTGTGAAGCTTACCCTTGTACACATGATTCAATTATATCGTCTTTTGAACTGTATCTTGAAGTTATTCCTATTTTGAGAAGTCTTAAACAATGATACAAATAAAAAAAGAAACGTTTTACTGATACAACGGATGTGCATATTTAAAATTCGTCTATAGCTTTTAATTAAAACGTTTGTCTTTTAACAATAAATGTTTTGGAAGAAAACGATATTTTTTTGGTTGGTTAATAGTTTAAAGCCTATCGACTACACACGGGTCGTTGAAGCTGCATGTAACCTCTTCACTACCAGTTAAGAATACTTTAATCTCTAAAATATGGGGTTAAAGTGAGTTTTCTGTGCATATACACCGAGAGACTTACACCTCTTGGTGTAATATATCTTGCACTAAAGCTCACCTCCCAAAACTGTTTAACGATTCGGTAATACATATAAATTTTCTATGAATTTTCTCTTCCAAAAACACATTTGCCATGTTCACTGCACAATTTGAAACCCTGAACGTTTTTTAACTATTTCTTATTTAAAACTAGTTCCAAACAGAACTCATAATTCAGCAAGATTTCAAATTTAAATTATTGCAAGCCTAGTATGATAAAAAAAATTATCTTGCTTGTTTTTCAAGTCCTTTAATCTGTAGTATTAAGAAACAGTTCTATATAAGCTACTGCTGCATGATCCTTGTTGGTTTAGCATTTAGTTTTCATTGTAATAATATGTAGGCTACTACCCTATGCTTTGCCTTTTGGAATGTGTTATAAGTTGCCATACAATGCATTCCTCTGGTGTACTTAAGATTTAAAAATACACACAATTTTTTTCCATCTCAAAGTATGTGTTCTGTAAACGTTAAAGACTTTTCTTTCCATTGAAGGTATAATGATTTGTGCAAATATGCTACAGAGATATATCAGTTTGGCATTCTTACAGGATATTATAGAGCCGTCGAGGACGCGCTAATGAATTCACTGTCCTTGTCGCTCGAAGTGGCTATTTTCCACCCGTCAGAAAACTGCTTGTTATATAACCTCTTCTGAATTCATTTAGCGCTTGATTTTAATAATTATAATCTTGCGAAGTTCAGCCTTATTAAAGATTTTATTTATTTAGGGTTGTTTTATATTTTTTTTTCTGTATGATTGCAAAGGGTTCGATCCTGGGGCTGGTGGAAACATTTGGCATGTTCTGTGCACCTGTGACTCCTGTTCACTTAATGGTAAATAGGTACCATGATGTTATCAAGCTGTTGTGGGTTGCATCCTAAGTGGGCGGGGTGGTACTATAAATATGGCTAAGCTTTGTAATGAACTTAGGTAGATAAAAAAGAGGTAGTTAGTTTAATATGTTTATTATGCACCCCATACCCATCCTGTGGGCGGTAGTCAAAAGATTACAGAGGTACATAATTGGTCCAGGGACTGGACTCCAAAGTTTTGATAGCTGAGCAAGTTACAGAGGTAATGAACTCACAATTTACAATGTAATGTAATGAACTCACAATTTACAAAGGTAATGAACTCACAATTTACAAAGGTAATGAACTCCAGGTAGGTCTGGTCGCAATCATGACAAGTTACAAAGGTATTTACAGATTACAGAGGTACGTAATGGGTCCAGGGACTGGGCCCCCAAAGTTTTGATAGCTGAACTAGGTACAAAGGTAATGAGCTCACAAGTTACAAAGGTAATGAATTCTGTAAGAATGGTTACTTACGTTTATACATGGCTACAATCATGAACAAATTATAGTGTAATGAGCAATTCACACTTCCACACCCGGTCACAACTGTAATGAGTTATTGGTGCAAATATTGATTGTTGAGTCACACACACACACACACACAGTTTAGTTTAATATCTTTATTATGCACCCCATACCCATCCTGTGGGCGGTAGTCAAAAGATTACAAAGGTACATAATGAGTCCAGTGACTGGACCCCAAAGTTATGATAGCTGAACTAGTTACAAAGGTAATGAACTCCAGGTAGATCTGGTCACAATCATGGCAAGTTACAGAGGTAATGAATCAGCCTCACTCCTATACATGGTTACAGTCATGAACAAATTACAAAGTAATGAACCACTGATACGTCCACACCTGGTCACAATTGTAATGAGTTATAAATACAAATATTAAGTGGATCATACACCCACACTAGCGCGCGCGCACACACACACACACACACGAGGGCGCACGCACGGACATGTGCACACGAGCGTACAAATATATGCATACACACAAGGACGCACACCCACACACACACACACACACACCCACACACACACACACACACACACACACACACACACACACACACCCACACACACACACCACACACACTCACACACACCCACCCACACCCTCACACACCACCACACACACACACCACACACACACACACACACACACACACACACACACACACACACACACACACACACACACACACCCGCGCGCGCGCGCGCGGTAATGCATTATTTACAGCTAGCAAAGTCAGGGTATTTCTCCAGAATGGTCTGTAATATACCACTGTGGATAAAATACTTTGCCATTTCTTGAACATTTCTGAGTGAGTTGTTTCTAAATTCATTAATTTGATCACACTCCAGTACATAATGATGCAAGGTGTGACAATAGTCCATCTGGCAAAGTTTACATTTCGTTTGGTCTACATCTGGTGGTGGTGATTTAACCTGCCATAGATACTTGTAACCCAGCCGGAGCCGGGCAGTAGTGACATCCAAGAGTCTGCTTATCTTGTTGGATGCACCGTAGACATGTGGCTCCTCCTGCATGATGGAATGATGATAGATGGACTGACTTGTGTCAATCAAAAAGAGGTAATCTGGAATTATTGTATATATAACATGAGAGGAACACTGCAGCAGGCCTACTGGCCCATACTAGGCAGGTTTTTTCAAACACAAACCCCCCTAACAAAAATGTTTCCTCAACCGATTTTTCAAGGAATAAACTTTGATAACCATGCTATAAACATAGATCTGTGTTTTATTCTTATATTTTCTGTGAGGGTTGATTGACAGTGGACAGTACGAGAGAAATAGATCAGAGATTATATATACTGTATATATTTTTATTTTAGCTTTGTGTATCTAACGCGAGAATGTTTTAATCAGACTTGCCTTTGTTGACCCTCAGCCATACCACTGGAAGCGGCGGAAAAGTCTAGCCATGTAGCCATCATCGTGACAGCTCGTGGGGGACACATAGGTTTTATGGAGGGTCTTCTCCCAACCACCACCTACTACAGTGACCGCCTCATTAGCCAGGTCCTCAACGCCATCTTCGCCAACCTTGACGCCATGGAGGAGGTGAAAAGGGAAGCGGATGCCTACGCCAGGTCAGTCTTCAGCAGTGATGGAGACACCGGGGAAGATGAATGTGCAAGTGATCGCTTGGCTAGCCACGAGACAAAGAAAGACCTGGCCGAGTGTGCCAATGACGACGGCTTTAGCAGCCAGGCAGGCGTGAAAGATGCAGACGATCACGCCAGTGTTAGCATTGCTAACCAATGCCCGGTGAAGAATACCAACGACAAGGCGTATCCAGCGGGCAGCGGACTGCAGGACGGGGTTCTTGGAGCATCATAACGAAGAATAACCTTAGCTCTTCACTGCCTGTCAAATGTACATACATCAGTTTTGGGGAAGGCCGCTTCTGGAACTCCGTCACCACAGGGCATTAGCATTTCTTGAGAACGTGACAGTCATCGTATGTAGGGAGCTCATGAAACATTTTTAAACTAAATATTTTGCTGCTCTTCAGGATCTTGGAGAACAAAATTTCTTTAAGTAAGACTGTCTTGCAAATTATTAGGTCTAGAACTTGAAATTTTCCCTTTAGAGTGAAAAGCAGCGACAGCTCTGAGTTTAAAGCAAACACATCAAAACAAATCAAGTTTATGAATTTAGATGAATCACTTTAAAAAATATAAATAAACAAGAAAATAACACTTATTATCGACGTAAATGAAAGGGGCGACAGTTACAAAGTAGAAGGCCATCCCGGACGCTACCTGCATATCACTTCTTGCCCCTTACGTCAGCACCCTTTGTCGTGCAGCGCTGAATTACCAACAAGTTAAGCGGTTTTAACTTAATAATAATCAGCAACATCTGAGTAAACGACAATTCTGCACTTGCCAAAACTATAACAAAATTACATCAAACTACACTAGAGACTAGCGACACAGCAGCCAGGGTTGTGTTATGATGAGACATCATTCATTGACTTGTGAATTCGTCAGTCTTCTCGTTAGAGGTCAGTTGGTGCTAGTTTAAGTACACACTGGTCACAAGGCATCTTACCTCCGAACGTAGAACTATATCGCCTCGTGGCAGTAAAATGGCCTCAGGACAGTATGATAATGAACATTAACGTTTCATATTAATAGTTGGAACGCGTTAGCATGGACATGGACGCAAATGTCTGGGATCTACATTTAATTTTAATAGAATTAGATGAACTAAGCTACCTAATTAAAGTCTCGGTCCATTAACATTGCCATTTTTGGCAACCATTTTTTATGCTGTAGTTCAGTGAAACATACGCTTTATATACTCAAGTTAAATAGTCAAGAGTGAGAATTCCAGGGCCTGGCCGTTATAAGCAAACAAATTTTGAAAGCACTGAAACGGCGTTGTTATGAGGTCACGTTGTCAAATTGTAAATAGCCCAAGACACTGTATTTAGGTTCCAGTACTCACAGTTCCGAACCCCTAAGAGTTAGTTTTTTTTTTTTACTTCGCATACACAGACATGATATACTTAAGCCATAAAATATGTACACCCTCCCCCATTCTTTATATATTATTATACCACTACTATTGTTGCAACTACTAGAACAAGCAAATAGAAAAAATATCGCTTATTGCTGCCCTAGCTGGCTGGGTGCTTTTGTTTTTTTAATAATTGTGGTTTAGGGTGAATATTACGCACAGTTGTGTACTGGTTTGTTTTAATTTCGTAGGCTGCTGCACAACACGCAACAGTGCCATAATAATAGTAATAACTGCTGGATATTACAGTCTCCGCTGCGACCTGGGGGTGGGGGTTCCAGCCATGTATCGATAACCACTACCCGGTATGCCAGCATATCTTGCGTTAAAACAATGGCAGTAATCATAGAACGAATCCCTTCATTTCCTATCCATAATTCTTCCTTTCAGTTTTCTGTGGTGAATGAGTGTTTGCAGTTAGGGCTGTGGGTGTGTTGGAAATCTGTGGGCGTCTCAGGAGTGTGGGAATGATACAGAAATAGGCGAGTGTACGTTAGAAGAATGTCTAGAGTATTGCCCGAAGTGCTGTGCATCGTATGGGTTTTCTGATTATTATATATTTGATATATACAATGATTTGAAATAATGTTAATCTCAGGTGTGGGGTTGAGTAAGTGTGAGAGTGGTGTTTACATTATTGGGGTGTGAGATCAAGTTATATTGGCGTGACAGTTTTTCGGGTGTGAGAGTAGGTGGCTGGGTGCTGTATTAAGTTAAACTGGTGTAGGTGTGTGAGGGGTATTGCATAAGTTGTACTGGTGTGGATGGGTGTTATTGTAAGTTGTACTTGTGTGAGTGTGGATGAGAGGTGTTGTAGTAAATTGTACTGGTGTGAGTGTGGGTGAGAGGTGTTGTAGCAAGTTGTACTGGTGTGAGTGTGGGTGAGGGGGGTATTGTAGGAAGTTGTACTGTGGTCTGAGTGTGGATGGAGGGGTGTTGCAGCAAGTTGTACTGTTATGAGTGTGGGTGAGGGGCGTTGTAGCAAGTTGTATTGATAAGTGTGGATGAGGGGCGTTGTATTGGTATGAATGTGGGTGAGGGGTGTTGTAGCAAGTTGTATTGGTATGAGTGCGGGAGAGGGGCTTTGTAGCAAGTTGTACTGGTGTGAATGTGGGTGAGGGTGTCGTAGAAAGTTGTATTGGTGTGGAAGGGATATGGAAGTAAAATGTAGGGACGTTGGAGTGAGAGACGGTCAAGAACAGTCCCAGAAGCTGGAGTGGAACCCTTTCAAATATAGCACGGTTAGGTGTAGCTACGTAGATGAGCAACAAGAGCTGGAGCTCAACACCCTAAACAAGCCTGGAGTTGTTTTCTTAAATACAGCTACATTAGTAGCAAGACCAGTAGCTGAGATTAAGAGCAAACAATCACTGGAAGCCGGAGATACCCCTTTAACCGGTAGGCGTGATGCCCAGCAACTGGAGTACAACCTCAAACTCAGCTAGAACTGCAGGGCCAGGAGCTGGAACTCTCAACGCATCTATAATATAAGGCTATGATAATACACGATAAAGCAATAACGTTTTGATGTTAATGCTCAAGCGCTGATACATTCATGGTTTGGCTTATTTCTTCCGTTGTTATTTCTACTGCATCTCCCACCGTGGTTAATTTCGTAGCTTGAGAGCCTACCAATTTATGTAGGTCATAAAGAGCAATTTTCACCTGTATATTAGCATCAAGAATACTGCCTAAAATAGAGATCAACGTTTCTATAATTGCCATTATCCACTGCCAGGGTCTAGTGATGCATTTGTGTGGGATTACTACATGCCTGCCTGTTATTGTTAATGTCACTACACACATACACTCATCAACTTTTTAAGCATTTGAGTCCAGTGTTATTTTTTCCCACCCCTCCGCCATCTGATGCTGCCGTATTCGTATACAACTTTTTTTTATTAATAATACAAAAGTAATACTGAGGGAAACCAGAGATTAAGTAAGGGCAGTAAAGAATGTGTATGATACAAACATATATTAGAGACACGAAAATATTGTTGGGTTTATTAGATTTCATGCATGTCGACCGCACGAGGGTCATTAAAGTCGCATTTTACTTTTGCACAACCAGTCTAAAATACTTAATAAAATACTGATTAAAGTAAGCTTATTGTATTTACACGGGTATATACAGCTCGTGATATTTACCCTTGACAAGAAAGGTACAAAAATAAACAATACATATTGACATGACGTTTGCTGGACAACTTTTTACTTTAACTATCAATAATCACTGCAATAAAGACAAAACCTAAAGATGTACAAGTAACCTTACTAGCATATATCAATGGAAAGTACACAATAGGAGTAGTTAATATAATGGAGTATAGCGTCCGTTTTCCAGTATTTAATGACGCTGACTCTGGCTTTGTTTTAAGCTTTCTCCTTCCTTTTATTTTTTTTTATCCCTGGCTCACTTGCTCTTGCTCTGCTATCTCACAAGAATCACATGTTAGGAAACCATTATTAAGGTTTGTCATTCACAATGTACGAAAGAACATTTCTTGGCAATTCGTCAGATTTGACTCATTAAAAACCGGCAATAATAATCAATATACGTAGTTTAATTTACCTATGTGTGAAGCATAATATGGGTGAATTTTATATGAATAAACCGTTATATGGATGTATTTTATATGTTTGTAAACGAACTCTTGGAAAAAATGTAAATGATTCCACATGACAAACTTCCTCTTCAACTAGTGTACCGTTGTATGAAAGTTATCGGTACGAGAGCAGCGGTAAGAATGGGTATGGGAGAGAGGGGGAAATGACGACTGGGAAACGACTGCCATTGTGAAGATCGCCTGCAAATATTTAATCCAGATCTACAGAAGTGGAAGACGAGCATATGAAGATCAATATACCAGTGAGCACGAGTTCGAGGGTCTTCGTGGGTTAATGCTCCGGTGTTTTAAGATTTTGAAATATCAAGGGATGAGAAAACATGGCAATAAGTTACTGGAGTGTAGGAAGGTCGTCTAAAAATTGGGGTGAAGGGAGAGATGTTAGGAACACATCATATAGCCACCCTCGTCTTCCTTATGTAAAATACAAACAAGTAAACTTTGTCAGGCAGTAGTTGGTTAATTAGGTTTAAATCTATCTAGTATACTAGGATCATTAAGGGTGAACCTGTACATCACACGTACAGGATACGTTAGTCCATAAAATGAGGATTAAAGTAAATCAAGTGTATATATATGAACACCTCTCAGTCTATACACCTCTCTCTCTCTCTCTCTCTTCTCTCTCATATATATATATATATATATATATATATATATATATATATATATATATATATATATATATATATATATATATATGCAAAACAACCACTCTGAAAGAATAGAGAAATTCCAAGCGCTTTCGTGACTACTCACATTATCCTTGATAATGTGAGTAGTCACGAAAGCGCTTGGAATTTCTCTATTCTTTGAGTGGTTGTTTTGCATATATATATATATATATATATATATATATATATATATATATATATATATATATATATATATATATATATATATATATATATATATATAGTGTGCTGAAAATATCTAGCCTAGACAGGACTCGCAGCAATGGTTTTAAGTTGGAAAAATTCAGATTCAGGAAGGATATAGGAAAGTACTGGTTTGGTAATAGAGTTGTGGATGAGTGGAACAAACTCCCAAGTACAGTTATAGAGGCCAGAACGTTGTGTAGCTTTAAAAATAGGTTGGGTAAATACATGAGTGGGTGTGAGTTGGACCTGATTAGCTTGTGGTACCAGGTCGGTTGCCGTGTTCCTACCTTAAGTCAATGTGACCTAGCCTGACTAGGTTGGGTGCATTGGCTTAAGCCGGTAGGAGACTTGGACCTGCCTCACATGGGCCAGTAGGCCTGCTGCAGTGTTCCCGTCGTTAAACGATGGGAATACGTTACGAGAAATGCGTCGTTAGGCTATTTCATCGTTGTGCGAACATCATAGAATATACACAACCCTAGAAGGTATAACCTACTACACACCTAGGCTATATGGTATAACCTATTGCTTCTAGGCTACAAACCTGTACAGCTGTAGATTTGCTTGTAAGCAGATAATACACCATGAACATTCCTCTCTGTTAATGAAAACCTATTGATGTTGGGGTCCATGTTTTCAAACTTTTTAAGGAGATTGTTGAGGCCTACAAAAGCTGCTAAACCCTTCACTGTGAATTTTCTTTGGGGGTTCTTTTTCCTCTCCTGCAGTTTCCTCTTCTCTTAACTCTTCTTCGGCTATGGCATCCTTAGAAGTGGATTTTGTACGCTTAGGGGCCATGTTGAACAAAACAACATGAGATTAAATCAAGCACAAGGGAAAATGATGCTATCATGAGATGTGGTAAACAGGAGATGTATGAGGCTGCTGCTGGAGTAACGTCCCATATTGTTTTACAGTAAACTTTTTTTTATGTAAGAAAGAGTACTCTCTAGAACAACGATAAAATGTATGGTATAGTAAATACCTAAGGCTGTAACGCAGTTGTTTATTATCATTGTCAAGTATAATGTACTGTATATACTTGTATGTGATATACTATTATACGACTGGCAGTGCATGGGACCACCGTCGTATATGCGGTCCGTCGTTGACCGAAACGTCGTTATGTGGCAGATGACTACTGTGGTGAATCTCGATATGCCATAAGATACACACCTCTGTGTATATACCTTGAGATGCACACCTCAGTGCATATTCCCCTAGATACAGTTATATATACATTGGAATGCACTCCACTGTATATACACTGAGATGCCTCGGTGTATATACCCTGTTATACAGAACAAGCTACAATGGGATGAAAATCTTTAGCTCAAGATCTTTTGTACTCTTTGTGCCTCGTCAGGAGCTATGCAGTTCTGCAAGACCAACAACAGATAGTAGAGGGAAAAATTCTCTCTGAGGTTAGGCAGAAGCTTGCACTGTGGTACACTGACCCGTCCACTGACATGGCCTGTCTACTGTGACATGGCCCGACGCTTTACGCTTCTGCCTTGCCTCAGAGAGAATTTCCTCCCTACTATCTGTTGCTAGTGTTGCACCAATGCATAGCTCCTGACGACGCAGTGTGAAAGATCTTAAGAGAAAGATTTCAACCCCCCCCCCTATGGCTTGTTTTGCATTGTTAAGATCGTCTGTTTGCAATTATTGCATACCTTGATATATATACATCAGTATATACGCTGAGATATACATCCCAGTGTATGTACCCTGAGACACACTTCAGTGTATATATAAATACGTCGGTGTATATACCCTGATAGTATATATACTGATATACACCTTAGGGTGTACACCCATAAACACCTTAGCGTATATACCGATATATACCTTAGCGTATATACTGATATACACCTTAGCGTATATACCAATACACCTCTAGTTATACGTTTCGGCGTCTGTAAGCTGAGATATACATTTCAGTTTATGTACCTTGAAAAAAATTCACACCTCAGTATGTATACTCTGAAATGAATACTCAGTATCTAACCTGAAAGATACATACCTCTGGAATACCTAAGAGATATATACTTTGCAGTGCGCATACCACGAGAGATGAAGTGTATATACCATGTTATACACACAGTGTATATACCATGAGAAATATCAGTGTACATACCACGAGATACACAACTCTGTATATACCATGAGATACCTCAGTGTATATACCCGAGAGATACCTCGGTGTATATACCCGACAGATACCTCGATGTATATACCCGAGAAATACCTCAGTGTATATACTCGTGTATGTACTGATGAATCAGTTACTGATACTGAGATAAACATCTCAGCGTATATACCTGAGATACATGCCTCAGTGTATATACCTGAGAGATACACATCTCAATGTATATACCTGAGATACATACCTCAGTGTATATACCTGAGATACATACCTCAGTGTATATACCTGAGATACATATCTCAGTGCATATACCTGAGAGATACATACCTCAGTGTATATACCTGAGATATACACTTCTCAGTGTATATACCTAAGAGATACATACCTCAGTGTATATACCTGAGATACATACTTCAGTGTATATACCTGAGAGATGCCTCAGTGTATATATCTGAGAGATACACATCTCAGTGTATACATCTGAATAATACATGCCTCGGTGTATATAAGCTGAGATGCACACCACTGTATATACCTGAGAGATACCTCAGTGTATATACTTGAGAGATATATATATCTGTATATACCTGAGACATACCTCAATGTATATACCTGAGAGATACATACCTCAGTGTATATGCCCGAGTGATACACACCTCAGTATATATACCTGAGAAACATACCTCAATGTGCATACGTGAGAGATATCTCAGTGTATATACCTGAGATACCTCAGTGTATATACTTAAGAGATACATACCTCAATGTATATATCTGAGAGATACATACCTGTGTATATACCTGATACATACCTCAGTGTATATACCTGATACATACCTCAGTGTATATATCTGAGAGATACATACCTCAGTGTATATACCTGATATATACATCAGTGTATATGCCTGAGAACATACCTTAGTGTATATACCTGATACATATCTGTGTATATACCTGAGATATACACCTCTGTATATTTCTGAGATATACACCTCAGTGTATATACCTGAGAGATACACACATCAGCATAGGTACCTGAGATATATACATATATATATATATATATATATATATATATATATATATATATATATATATATATATATATATATATATATATATATATATATGTGTGTGTGTGTGTGTGTGTGTGTGTGTGTGTGTGTGTGTGTGTGTGTGTGTGTGTGTGTATACCTGATAAATACACACCTCAGTGTATATACCTTGAGAATTATACACCTCGGTGTATAAACCTGAGAGATTCATACCTCAGCGTATATACCTGAGGGATACACACCTCAGTGTATATACCTGAGAGATATACACCTCAGTGTGTATACACTAGCCATTAATCTTGATATCTTGTAGGCATTACAATCAATGGAATCGTAACGTCACGGTCTACACACTACAGTGCGGCAGCTACGTCATGGTCGACACACGCTGCAAGTGTGGCTGGCGGGCACACGATATACACTAATATTAATAATATATTTCTTATACTATATAGGGAAAATACTGCATATTTTAATTTAGCCGATTCTGATCTAGAACATTAGCTCACTTACTCTCATGTTACTTTAATATAGGCCCCAGTGTTTGAAAATGCAAGGAATATTTTGATTTGTTATAAGCTTCTTAAATAATAATATACCGACTTATGGTATTGTTGGGGTGTATTTTGAGACGAAGACTGTATAAAGAATGGGGACAATATGAAGATTCGTGAGGTGTAGTGAGAAAATCAATGGAGGTAGGTATGATGCCATGAGTGCCGGCAGTCAGTTGGTGCCAGGTAGTGAGGGAGTGAGGGTGGTGCTGCGCTGGCGGAGTCACACCTTACTGTGCAGGCTTTCAAAGTACGTCCACGCTCTAGTCTCACAGTACTGAGAATTC